AGATTATATCACGATGAAATGTAATTATATGTAAATGTCTACACTGTAAGAAATAATCATATTTTTAGTAGTTTTTAACTGTATTTAGAAAAACAAAAAAATAATTTATTGATATTTTACATAATTTTCCCATTTTGGTAAATTCGAGATAAAACTTTATGAAAGCACAGGAACAGCATTAATTTAATTAATTAAAGTAAAAACAAAACAAACAAAAAAGAAAAACAGACCAAACTGTCAATAATCTGTATTTTTAGTGGTAATTCGTACTTTTACCCTGTTTAACTGTAAAGTGATGATAATTTTTGGTATTATCATATCAAAATATCATTATTTTATATATTTTTATTGCTATCTACCTATCTATCTATATATCTATATATATATATATGCATATAGAGGACTGACAAATGTGCTTTTAATTTGTACAGTTTTCCTATTTTGTTAAAAAATGCAGATATCCAGTAAAGTCCTGTTGACTCTAAAGGAAAAACTGTAAATAAAGTTTGCATCCAAAACCTGTATTTTTTAGTAATTAGTTTTTTTCAGTGTATGACTCTATAATTACATAGTTGGACTTTACAGAACTTTTGTTTTCAACTGTCTTATTAATTTATTTTTACACTTTAGTACTGCTCTCTCTCTTTCTAATGTATTTATTCTCGTATCCGTCCTGCCAGATCCCAAAGAATTTACTTCACATGAGGGAGAATATTTAACAAACTGCCTTCACCTCCTGCAGCGTGATGTAAACACCATCTGGTCAAGTGTGTCCTGCTCACCTGAGGCTGATGTGGATCACCTGGAGCTTCTGCTCATGGTGTCAAGAGGAAGCAGCAGTCTGAAGGAAGGACTGCCTGCCTGAGGAAGACATCGGCGCTGTGATGGTGGAATGAAAGCCTTCAGTTCTCCAGGTACACGTCGTGTTCCCATCACGTTGCATGTGTTACCTGTAGCTGCTGTCTGACCCTCGCCCCTCCGCTCACCTCAGAACCAGGTGTTGCAGTTAAACTGAACCTAAACCAGAAGCATGGAGCTGAAGTGAAAACAGCCAAAGGACGTCCAGCCAGACATGAGAGCTGCTGTGTGTATACGTTGGACCGAGCAGCTGTTGTTTCCAGACCGACAAGAAATCTATGAAAGAACCAAAATGCACATAAGAACAAATCTGCTGCTCTGAGGAGCACATCTGATTGGTGGACAGACACTCGCAGGTGTTAAAGAGGAATCTTTAAGTTCTTGAACATGATTTGAAAACTTCTGACTTTCTGAGATCAGTGCAGGTTTCCGTTAAACACGTGATCAGACTGGTGTTTAAAGAGCATCTGACTTTAAATCAGTGCACATGAAGGCGCTGAGACATAACTCAGTTTCTCCCTCTTTAGTCTTTGCTCTACGTTGACGGCCAACATTTCACTCATGACATCTGAACTCCTCGCTGCTCAAACCGCCAGAGGAACCGACACAGCAGTGCTTCCACCGCTCAATTTAATTTGTCTTTTTTACAAAATATAATAATTAGAAACAAACAGAACAGAAGCAGTACAATATATATATATATATGTATATAAAATGCTAAAAATAAAAGTAAAAATCAAGAATTAACAAAAGGCAGTGATTCTTCTCCGTCTGCCGCCGCCTCATCCTGAACCCGCCGCATGTAAACAGTCAGAGACAAAGCAAACGCTGATCTGAGAGCGACTGGGCTGGAAGCAGGATCACAGGAGGAGCTCCACATTCACAGCCGCAGACCAGAAGCAAACAAGCACAGATGGAAGCCAGAAGTCCAGCTCAGTCATTTCCTTCTGCAGGACTTTGTTTCGCCACGTTAGGCTCAGAATCCACCGACATGCAAACCGACAAAATGACCAGAACACCATCATCACAATAAACAACTGATCCTAACCATCTGTCTCCGGCCGAGTCCAGAACACCGACGTTCTACCTGCACTGGTGTTCAAAGAAAACGTGTCACAGAGGAGCTTCACATTTCTAACGGTACGGTACATGAACGACTAGCAGCACAGGTGGAAATATACACAAAAGATATTTATTCATAGTTAAGGCAAAGCTAACTAACATGTGACAGATTCCATCAAAAAATATTGCAAAATGTACAACCTGTATACAAGAGTTTTGGTAAAACACTGCATTTGTGGCCCTCAAGTTGCTTCAGTTCATCATCTTAATGGAAAACAGAATGGAGGAGGTCCTGACCCAGCGTCGCCCCCTGCAGGTCGCTCTGACGCAGGCCGGGAGAAGCATCGCCGTACGCCGAGGCTATCGGACGATCACTACAGTTCTACGGAGGGATGCGCTTTCTTTGAACACCAGTGTGAGTTTAAGCCAGTCAGTCTTCAGTCGGTGGACGTTATGGGAACGCTTCGTCGTTTTAAGTCCGTTTTGGTTCTCCAGAGCAGACCAGCTCTGCAGCGGCTTGCTGCAGAAGGAGCTCTACTCATGGATCTACCTGAAACCCAGAACATGCTCACATCTGGAGCATCCTCTGGTCCAACACGGCCCAGATGTTTCTCAGCAAACATCATCGTACACCTGCTTTCTGATAGAGGCCAGCGTGTTCCACTGGATCACGATGCCTGAACCTCCACGTCAGAGATGTTTGGACCACAGCGTCGGTCTTCACCGCTGGACCATCGAGCTGCAACAACACAACCTCTGGATGTTAAACACGTGTTCAGACTCTCGCTGCTCATCGAGGGGTTTGGATACCGTCAAATCTGCAGAACCTGAGGAACCTGGCGTGTACGGGTTTTATTTTATTTTGAGCCTATTCTGCACGTTAAACGGGCCGAACCATCAGAGTGGTCCATCAGTCCTGCCAAAGCACTGCACCTTCAAACATCCCAGAATACGTTTCTAAGGGAAGAACAAGGATGAAAATATTCACTAAAACAAACAAAAAAAGCAAAACCACAGCGCTCCTCGTAGCTCCTGCACCGCACCGCGCTCAAATTAGGAAATATTCTTTCATTTCAGCTCATTTAAACTAAACTCTCCACTTCTGTGCCAAAAATCTAAAAACACGCAAAGAGAAAGAAAGAGGCGAAACCGAAAAAAACCGAGAGCCAGTTACAGACTCAGAGGAGAAGATGTGAAGCTCACGTTTAAATAAACTACTCTACGGATCTGGAGCTCCAGCCACCACGTCGTGACACGAAGCGACGGATGTGAACCGGCTGCAGCGCTCAAAGTGCCGATTCAATATGAAGGACGTAGAGAAGCACACGACTGGCTCGTGGTCAGAATCTGGAACAAATCTGAGCAGCAGGTCAAACTTCTCCGTCCTGATAAATAAGAAAACAAGCAGCAGTGGTTAACGTTGTCAATCATGATGTGTTTAAGAGCAGAAACATGGACAGCAGCTCTCTGTGCTTTCACATGTGTTCATTATAACCGACCCACAGAACGGCGCCGTGGTGATCAACTGTTCATATACACGTAATCAATGCCTGAAAGTAGTGATTAACACGCTCGTCATTCCACATCGGACAGAGGGTTCAAGTGTCTCAGTTTAAAAACAGGATCAGACGGATGAGAACGTCCCTCCAACACCGCCAGTAGGTCCATCGTGTCCAAAAAACAGTTTGGTAAATGCACTTCTTGTTCTTTAGCCCCGGTGTGAAGACAATCGAAGATCTCCACGCGGGACGAATCACAAAGAGCAGCACTCAGTTCAGCCCATCTCCTCACTGTGTGAGCGAGCGGGGATGCTGGACGGGGGAGGGGTGCAGCAGGCTGCCGAAGGCCTGGAAGTGTGACGGGAGGACAGCAGATGAAGGAGGTGAGGCGGACGGGAGGCTGAACTCCACCTGCAGCCGATGGGGGGCGCCAGCCTCGCCGCCTGCTGTACCGCAGTCGGGGCCCTCGGAGACGAAAGGTCCGCCGCGCATGTGCAGCTGGTAGAAGCAGGAGTTTGGGAGGCCGCGGTCGTCGTGGCGGGACGGAGAGCTCCCGCAGGCCCACTGGGAGCTCTGAGCAGACGGCTGAGACTGGAGCTGGACCGGAGCCGAAGGACAGCAACCGTCTGAGCCAGAGTCCCGCAGGTCATCGATGGGCGTGAGGGAGAAGGGACATCCAAACAGCTGCTGAGGACATTCGTCACCGCACAGCTCTGACAGGCCCATCACCAGCTCCCCATCTGGAAGAAGGCAGGATGACATCAGGAGCTGTAATAAAAGCTCCATGTTCTGGAGCTGCAAGTCTCATTTGTTGGCTTACAGTTTTATGAAAGCATTTGTGTACATATTCCTGCCTGAAACTCCCTGTCGTCATACTGAAGTGAAACGGAAACCAACGCTAGATCCAAATACTCCAGATGTTCTACCGTAGATGACATGACGGAACCCGAACCACCGTCAGGAGGAGAACCAGTCCAGTGATAGTTTAAGGTTCCTCCTCATTAACAGCAGACATTAATTGTTCTTAGTAAATGTAAATGTTTCTAACTGTAAATGTCCTGATTGGAGACGATGAAGGTGATTCTGAACTCATCGGTATCGGCTCCTATATGAGCCCCGTCCTGTGTTCATGTTCATCCTTCGCTGTAACACTGTTGTTTTAAATTTAGACCATTTATTAAATTAAGGCGTGTTATCAATGAACAAATGCTTAAATTAAAACACCAACAGAACACACTGGACATTTGTCCTACTCTGACATTTCTACACACAGTGCTAGCTGAAGCAGCAGCTGTTACATACAAACACTGGGTTTATGCTATGCTAGCTGTTTCCTGCCTGATCTAAAGCGTGTGGTGGCTGGAGGTCATTAAGCACCACAGAAGACCTCATCATGGTGGCCCTCTACTGGACACACTCCCACAATGCTCTCTGCTTGCCACCATGGAGCTACCTGCCTCCTCTGGTCATGACAGTATCACGTATTAGAGGATCCGCCTAGTGGTGCAACCAGGTACTACAGCTAGTCTGTGTGCTTTCTAGGAACATGGTACCAGGTCGGGACTCGGAATCCACGAACACTAAATAATCAATAACTCTGATTGGACTGGTAGCAAATAAAGACTTGATGAGGGCTTCCCTAACTGTTGTTAATTTAGACAATTAGCAGATTTGCTGTGTCTCTCTCTGCTCCGTTTCTCCCCATCGCTCCAGACTTTCCCCTTTCATTGTGCTTGAACACGACATGCTGAAGTAACGCTGCACAGACCTGAGCCTCTGTGTTTACTGTGTACAGAGGCAGCAGTGAGCAGGAGCACCAGGTTCTCCTGTGCACATGCTCAGAATAGCTAATTAGCAGCGCGAGGGGAGACGTGCACTTAATTAGACAAAAAATGTCTCCGATTAGATTCGTTGATTTTTTGTTTAAGAATAAATATTTACTGAAGTGATTCTTAATTTAATTGTCATTTGGACTCAGCAGTTACACTGTAAACAGATCTAATGGTAAATATCAAATGTACTGTATTTAAAAACGCTTTTCAAACCAACAAAGCAAAGAGAGAAAGGTTTGAATTCATTTTAAATGACCTGATGTATCTGACATCATTGGTAAATGAATGGAGCCGAAACTCCACAGCCAGAGGAGGCCGTGCACATTAGTCCTCTTCTTTTCAGCTCTAATTACAGTTTGATTATCTACCACAGATAAGTTAATGAGATTTATTCCTAATGAGCACATCCTCTCTCGTCTCTCTGCTCATCCAGTTCTCTTTACCTGCAGGCCCAGCCTGCTTTCTGTGGCCTGTGTGGACCCAAGTCATGGCTTTAAGAGAAAGCGGGGCGTTCGTCTGCGCCTGGGCCGACCCTCCTCTTCTGGAACACCATGTCAACGTGCACGGCATGCACACACACACACACACACGCACACACACACACACACACACACACAGAGGACAGACGTGCACACAAACACAAAAAGACAAAAAGCAAGAAAACATGGGGAAACAAGGGAGGGAGACATGGAAATGCTTTATAACCAAAAATAATGAGCATGTGATGTCAAAATAAAAGCAAACTGTAATCAAAATAGAACATTCAACAAACGTAAAGTCCATGAAACTGCATGTACATCATGACTGGTAGAACAGGTTGTGATGTGGGAATATGTCTGACACACAGAAAGACGGCAGAACTACAGCCTTCAGCCACATGAGTGAGTTTTTCAGCTTATATTTGCCAAACTGTGGAGTGAGGTGCTCTGTGGCCAGCTTCCACTTTAAATTAAACTCTAATGAAACGGGTGGATATTTTCTAAGCTGTTCCTGGACATGTGCTTCTTCTCCGAGTGGTTCTGTCTTTAACCATGAGGTCATCGGAACAACGTTCTAGAGCGTTCTGGCTCTAACCTCTGCTTCACTTTGCTCGTGATGTTGGCCAGCTGTGTGACAGGACATTTAATCCGGCACTAGGTCAGTTTAGGAGTGAACTTTTATCCAGAATCTGAGCTGCCACATCAGGTTCTGGTCAGAGGCCAACTCTAATCGGTACCTTGTTTGTCCAGATCCAGGTTCGACTGTGGAGGTAACGTGGACTCCAGCTGCCCAGTGCCCATGGAGGCGTGAGACAACAACCCTGAGGAACTGTTGCTTCCCTCCAGATCCCCGACCTCCCCGTCCTGGTCCCCGTCCTCCCTGCAACACACAGCACTGTCAGCACAGCAAACCCAGAGGCCACACAACCTGGAAGTTTTACTATTTCTTCTTCTAAAAAGCAGCGACACAAAGTCATTTAAGAACCTAATCCTGAACAGTCACCAACAGAGGAGCCCCACCACACAAACAGAAACATGTCCAGTTAGCTGGCATTACTAGCAGATGAAGAGAGGTTTGTCTCATGACAGGACTCACGGCGGATTCCTGTTTCATTGTGTGAAGCTACAACTTAAATAAAATAAAGAAACGAACATCTTAATAAAGTCCTGGAGCTGCTGAAACATGTTCCCAGAGTAGATTTCATGAGATGCTCACGGTGCACATACAGGAAACAGAAGCAGACTGTGAGTGAGGAGAACACACAGTGCGATGAACCGGAGAGCTAAGCTACCCTTCAGTCGGCTCACTGCAGGGCGTTTCAGACGAGGCATCGTGTACGTTACAGCTACACGTACACATGTAGCTCGACTGATCGTTAGCCTCACTCACATGCTCCCTGATTGCAGGCTGTACTTCTTGCGGCTCAGCCTGGTGGCCTGTTGGGTAAAGTACACGTGCCGGTCGGACTTCTTCCACATGTAGTAATACTCCACGCACTCGCCCACAGAGCGCGTTCGTACCTGCGGCAAAGGGGAGAAAAAGTTGCTGTTGATTGGAGCGACCAAAAGCCCACACCGTCCTACCGTCCTGTCTGCAGAGCGCTCACCTTGTTAGCCTGAATGAGGTGGAAGTTTTTCCCGTAAACTCGATAGCCGTGCTCAAAGTTCCTGCACTCCTCCTCGCTCCAGGAACAGAGCTCCTCTAAAGGCAGAGGACAGCAGCAGCATTAAGGCTAAACGTCAGGTTTATTAACAACACAACTGATCTCATGAACATGAACAACACGCAGCACATAAGACAACATGTACATTCAGAAAATGACTTTCTTGTTCCAAAGCTGTGTCCATTTTTTGTTCATTTTTTAGCATAATCCAAACTTAAACTGGAGGCTCACAGCTGGACTAAAGGTCATGAGGTCACATCAGTGAGCTGTTCATCCTCTGCAGTGCTGAACTCAGCAGCTTGTGTTCAATGGAAAGAGTCATCTCTGCCAAATCCTCGACTGGAACATGTTTTCCCAGCTTGTTTTACACGTGGCATCACTGTGCTGCACAGTTTTTATAATGAAGGCATCTCTAGGCTCTTAAATGATGCCCACATCTTCAGTGTGATGTTCACAGATGTGACTTCATCAGGAGTGTGGCGGCGTCCTGCAACTGCAGATTGATGTCAAAGAATTTCTGGAACATGTGACTTCATGAGGAAGCTGTTATCTTTAAACTAGTGGGAAAGTTCATCCCCTTTTCTACTTCCTGCAGTTCAAACACCTGGACAGCACCTTAAAATAAAAAACAATGGAATGTTCTGATAATGCTGCTACGTGACACAGGATGACAAAGACCTTCTTGTTTGTGAAATACTGGATGTTTTTAGTCTTTATCACAGGTCTGACTTTGGGTGAAGTACAAACACAGGTGGTGGCAGGTCGGGACAAACAGAAGCTCTGTTCTTACCACTAAACACTTTGACATTGAAGCGTAACCGCCTCAGTGCCTCTTCTGCATTGAAGTTGCATTTCACTAGTTCATACAGCGCCTGGAAGTCCAGAGAAAAGGAGAAGGAGAAGGAGAAAAGGCCGTCACACAGTGAAACCTGAGCTTTTTGTTTAAACTCTGTCAAAAGAAGAAGAACTTCTGGTTACTGACAAAGACTAAACACCGGCAGAGTCACGCTCCTCTACCAGCAGCATGTAGTCGCTGTATGTAGGGATGAACTTTTAAACTGGTTAAACTGATGCTACCAACTTTCTTATTTCACCAGCACATGATTTGGTCGCCCCTTATTCTGGTGCAGCATCACCACAACTACTAACCCGTCTTCTCTGCTGATGAAAAGTTCTCTTTGCACGATGTAGTTTCACTGCAGGTTGTCTGAAATCACTCAGGTAAGCTGGACACTGTGAAACTTCTCACTTGCTAAACATCTGCAACATCTGCTTATTGATAGACAGATCGAGTTACCGATGTTCCTTAAACGCCTCACATGCAGGCTAAGCTAGACGCTAACCAGACGGCTGCAGTGCACTCAGACAGGGGTGTGACCAAGAACTAGTTGGAAAACAGTAAAATACGGTGTTATTTTAGCTACATGGACTGTTTCCTACGAGCAGAGTGCATTTTAAATATCAGCATCACAATCAATCATGTTTATTTAACTGTGGAAGTCAAGATCACAGCTGCTGTTAATGTCAGTTTACGTTTGCGTCCCCAGCGCTGCATTAGTCATGTGATTGAATGCAGTGGGCGACTTGTTCTTCACTGACTTGGTTATAATCTCTCTCCAGACCTGCATTTCTATCACCAGGTGAGTCTGAGTCAGGACCTGTCCCTCTCCACCAGCCTCCTCTCTCCGTGTTTTGTTTGATATAATAATGAGCTGAAGGCCTCCCTGGAACATGATCACAGCTAAATGGGTTTTTACACATCATGCAGGGACAGACCAGCTGAGCCAAGAAGAAAACAGACAGTTTTCAACCCCGATGGCAAACGCTGAAGAGCCCAACCTTTTAACTTACACATTCTCAAAATAAAACCATTTTGGTCTCAACCTGCAGCCTGTAGTTTAGTCATTATGGGGAGATGTGGTGAAGCAGGACCAGGAGGAGATGCGCTCTGAGAGGACGGCGACCAGTTAAAAAGCAAGACAACTGAATATCCAGTTAGGTCTTCAACCTGACATATAAGCAGACTTCTACTCATCCAGTTATCAAGTTCTCTGAAAATACACACAAACATTTAAAATATTTTACCAAAACTAATAATTCAGTGGTTGCCCCTAATCCACCTGCTCCTGGGGCATCTAACCCATCGCTCATGAGCACTCCAGCAGCACCGTGTGCAGGATAAACACGCTACAACAGGCGACGTCGAAGTTTGAGCACACGAATGCAGCTGACGATGTTTTGTGAGACGCGACGTCTCGCTACCTGTTCGTTGTCCTGGACAGCGGCCCCTTGTGTGAACACTGCCCCCTCCTGGCCTCGTGGTCTCTGTACATTCAGCAGGAACTCCTCCACCTCCTGCACCGGCAGAACCTCCGGCCTCCACAGCAGCTGGTCGTCACCGCTGTAGGCTGCAAGGAAGACGAGGAAACAGAATGAAATGAGCTAAAATGGGAGGATTTTCTAACATTACCAGAGAGTCAAAGGATTTCTTAGATTCTGCACTACACTACACTCTAATCAGCTGAAATCATGTGGTGCTTGAAGAACTTCAGCCCAAGTTTATCCAGAGTTTTAGACTTAATCCTCATAAAACAACTGTTCAAACTGTTTTCTGACACCATTAGCGGGATCTGGTAGCTGCTTACCTCTCTCCTGGTGGGTGTAGGGGCTGACTGGAGGGATTTTTGCCTGATACATGGAGCCAACCATGATCTCCTGAGAAGCAAATCAGAGATACAGTCCACATCACCTGCTGGTAAAAGCTGAAGCTGTCCTAAAATCTGTGACGTGTGCTGAGACAGACCCGTACCCTTGAAAAGCGAAAGGTCTGACCAGAAGCAGATGTCAGGTTTGAACAACTAAGCCACTTTGGTTTTGGAACTGGTGAGATGTTTTATCCCCATCGGTCTTTTCTCTGGCTCGCACAAGTGAAAATATTTTTTCGTACAGCGTGTTTGGCCCGGCTATCAAAACCACGGCGGTTCTGTCTAAATCAGGTCTCATGTACGGGGGTTAGTTTGGGTTCAGTTGGTCCAGCACAGGAATTTCGTCCACATTGGATAATCCTGCAGTATTTGTTTTATGCTGGACGCCAGCGTAGGAAGAGGTGAGCGTGTGCAGCTTCTTATTGGATCAAATGTAAGACAAACCCATTAGCAGAGAGTTCATAAACCAGTGTTTCATTATCGGCTAATTGTTCTGCTGGAGGGCCTTTGTGTGGTTTTATCTCTCATAAAACTGCAAACACAGAGCGCAGCATGCTTCAAGTCAGCATCAGGCTACCTTGTGCTCTTCATTGGAGGGAATAGAGGCGTCATCAGAGTCCTCATCTGACGAGCTGACCAATGGGTCTTTGTCTCCACCTGGAAGAGACAAAACAGCAGACAGGTGACGCTTTAAACTCACTGATGCTACACAAACTATAGACATGTCTGCAGCTGGTCTGTGTGGATCCTCAGCCCTGAGAATCAGTAAAAAAAGCAAATTCATTTCTCATTTTGGTTCCTGAAGATGTTTTCAAGAACCAGAAAAAGGAGATAATTTGCTTTTTACTGAAGCTCGTAGGACTTCTGAAGCTTCAACCGGCTGTGGTCGGACATTAAAATAACAACGGGATACATCTAACTCCATTTAAAACACAAAAGGGCAAACAGACGGAGGAAGGAATCACAGACGGTCGAGGCGCCTCCTCCTCTGTTACTGTGGGTTCAGTCTGGATAAAACACACAAGCAGCCATAGATTGGTTTTTAAATGATATTTCATGAGCTCAGCGCTTTCCCCACGTTTAAATATAAATCACTGTCACCTTTTAATACATTTAAACTCCTTCAGCTCAGAGCCGTTGGACTGTCTTTGACATATTTCCGTCACATGGAGATGGACCAGCCGGTACCATCACGCCGGTAGATCAGAAACCGATACGCTGAAATCAATCAAAGCTTACGTGTAATTTCCTGATATTTGAAGCTCTGCTATGTTATCAGAAATGTTCCACCTCGACATAAACCTGCCTTCTTATCAAAGCACTCATTTAAAATCAAGCCAAACAAAAGCTTCAGGAATTTCTTTCATCACCTGTTACATGTGAAGGAAAGCTATGAAACCAGCCTTCCTCTTTCTGTCTCTCCGCTCGTCACGAGATCGTTTCAAACGTTCAACAGTCAGGCGTTAATCTCACCTTGGAGGCGACGGAGCAGGTCTGAGGTGTTTGAGGTGACGGAGGGGGTGATATCATCGGCTGATGACTCCTCTTCCTCCTCCACAGGAAACAGATCCTCAGTTATCTGATCCTGAACACGAGAAAAACAAAAGCAACAGAACAGTAAAGCGTCGTGGAGGAGCAGAAGAAAGGGTTTCATTTCCAAAACCAATCATTCCTATTAGATGTGTGATAATTAAAGTTTATGCTTCAATGCTGACTCCCAACACAACAGCTTTGTTCAATAAGATGAACAGCAACCAGAAGGCCAGTACAGACGGGAACGTGAACAGCTTTGGGTCGTACCTTGTCCAGTGTCATGTCTGGCAGGCTGGCAGCCATGTGACAGGTCTCCTTCTCTGGATCTGACACCGTATAACCGTACAAAGCCAGCAGCTCCTCCAAGGGAAGCTCACCGGCCTACAGGTGAGTTAGAGACGGAGACAGAAGGAGGGAGAGGAATCTATGAATTACTTCCACATTGAAAACAACATCTTCCACACATCTGCCTGTTCAGTGGTCTCAAGGACAGTCTCCACATTCCCTCCAAAAACCTCCATAACTCAGTCAGTTCACTGTGAAGTGATCAGAACACTACAAAAATGAAGCAGTTCAAGGCAGCATGTCTGGTATCTGAACAGTTTAACACCAAACGGTACATTTACATCGATCCACACTGCAGAGTTCAGATTCTACTCACTGAAGCTAATTAAAGCTCCAGTTTGAAGCAGATGTGGAAATCAGCATCTGGATGTTCCACTTCATTTCCTGAACTTGGTGTTGGGAGAGTTTGTTCTGATCCGGGGAACGTGGGAGGAACGTACAGTTTTAGTTTTACTGAATGATGACACTTTTTTGCTTTTGCATTTAATGACAATAAACGGAGACGTAAACAGGAACGATGCCGCAGAGCGAGTTCAGTGCTTCAGACTGTTAAACCAGCATCCTTAGTGTCTGTTTAAAGTCTATTAATTGTCTGTGTTCAGATAGTATTTCTGTATTCACTGACATGAAGTGGCTGGATTTTAAAATGTCTTTCAAACAAGTGCATGAATTTCCTTGAGTTTGAACCCCCTCCATAGAACTTTAAATTCTTTGGTAAATGATCCTTATGGCGTATTTAATACACTAGAAGATGCATGATGTGGGAAACAAGCACTAAATCCACTGACTGAGCATTTCCACCTTGAAACCTACAGTCTGTCAAACCAGCTTTGTTTGTCGTGTTCTGTTTGTATTTCATGTATTTATGCTTTGTTGCGTTCATATATGATATTTTTTGTGTTGTATTGTTGCTGCTGCCCTCTTGGCCACGGCTCCCTGGATGTCAGTGTCAATGGGACTCACCTGGTTCAATAAAGGTTAAATACAATAAAAATAAAAAGCGCAGTGTCCTGATGACAGCATGAAAAACAAGGACTCAGAATTCCAGGATTTCATACGTAACTAACCAAAGAATTAATCCTGTAAACGAGCACTGTGCTGTTTTCTATATTATTCCTCAGAATCCCTTCAGACATGTGGCTGAATTAAACTCCAGTCTTACACCTGCCATCGTGTTGCATAGAGAAGTTTTACAGCGTTTGAGCAGAGCGCTATGAGGTGGGTCAGAAAAGTTCCAGGACTGGTGTCACAACAGATAGACTTCAAACCCAAACTCCCAGTGTTCCTCTTCCCAGTAATCCTCCTGGAGTCTACCGCCCTCCTCCAGCCTTCTCTTCACGCCTCCATGCTCTCCTGGAAGGATTCTCCAGGATCCTCTCAGCTCCGTCCTCACAGCCATCTTGATGTCGTCCACGTCTTCTAAACGGGTCTCCTTGATGAGCCCTTGAGCTTGGGGAGGAGGAACCAACCCCACGGAGCCAGGTGGGGTGAGTAGGGAGGAGATGTTCTCCTCAGCAGGAGCTGTGGGATGCTCAGGGCGCTGTGAGCAGGTTGTCATGGTGACGCAGCCTCCACTGGTCCTGACGCAACTCTGCCTCTTCTGGACGAAGCAAACGCTGCAGGACCTCTGTGGACGAGCTGGTTGATGGTCTGAAGGAGAAACTCCTGGTTTGGGTTTGAAGTCTATCTTTAGTGACACCAGTCCTGGAACTTTTCTGACACACCTCATAAGTGAAGCTGGCGTGCTCGAGCTGCAGCGAGGGAGACGGGTGCTTTGTAGATCTGCACATTCTAGAGGAAGCAACAGCAGAGTTACAGCATCATGTCTAACGTGCTCTATCCTCCACTAATGCATCTGACTGCAGCAGCAAAACTCTACGTACAGTATCTTCCATGTCGTACCTGTTTATGAGTAAAGTCATGAAGTCATACGTGTACATAACCACATAAGACCTGTTATATCTGTATTATTGTAATTTCTTGTCCTGCTGCTTTCATGCCTCATGTGTATCAGCTGCTGTCACACTTCCTCAGTGAGGGATCAATAAAGTTTATCTTATAATAATAATAATATCTCATCTTAAAGATAGGAAACACCTAAATATGTAACTTCTACACACTTAGAAGAGTTTTTAGGGTTTGAATCCACAAACTGGTAAACTATCAGTCCTTCAAATCACAGACTAAGTTCTGTAATTAGTTACAGTTGGGTTACAACAGTTCCTCTGGTCGGCCAGCCAGCACGACCACAGCAGTTCTACCTGCAGCTATGAAGCTCCCATAAATAATCACAGGACAACATTCAGTCAGTGTGGCTTCTAGACAGAAGAGCTTTGACACATACAGTGTGGGACTGTGCTGCCATCTTCATGGAGCGAGGTCTCCTCCAGCTCCTCTAAGACCTGTTCAGACTTCTGCTTCTCCAGCTGAGGGCCTTCATCGCTCTCCACTCTCCACTAGGCCACGACCTCTGCACGCACGTTCAGATGCTTTCCACCCACCTACAAACACACACACACACACACACACACAGAGGTTTGTATGCAGCATTCAAAGTCATGTAAAACAGCTCCGGGATGTGTTGCAGTAGCGCAGCACATGCCTGCGTGGTGCACACCAACAACATGGGATCACGCTGATCCTGGCTCATCCCATTACCCATCAGCTGACTCCTGACGTCTAAACCGCCCTTTTTTAACTTGTGAGACTCAACGCTAGTGAAAGGCTGGAGGATAGATGATGACACCTGTAGCTGTAACATGATTATTTAATTCTGGTTATATTATATACAGCCATACAGCATGTGCTATAATGACTTCTTGGAGGTCCACATATGTTGCACACTCTGTTTATACTGAACATGAAGGCACTGCACTCTCCTTGGGTTCAGGTTTGCACCTCTGGTTCGATGCTAAGCTGCGATTGGTCGGCTCAGTACTTGTGCAACGACAGTAAAAGTTGAATCTAATCAAACCTTCAGAGATTCACAGAAAGTCTTTCTGCAGAACTTTTGGTTTGAAAACAGTGAAATAAGAGTTTCTGATGGTTTTCCTGCAGCATCAACGTGTTTCCAGTCACAGCTCGGCCTGAACTGTTTCAGTAAACTGGAAAAGACTGAATATCCATAATGAAGGCTAATAAAGAGTTCTATGCACCAGTTCAGTTTGCTTTGTTGATAATAAGCTGCATGAGAGGCTCCACGAGGATCTGGACACCTGAATTAGATCCCAGTCTAACCTGTAAGGACACTCAAAGTCTGTATATTATTACTATATTCATATATCTTGAATATTTGCATGCACTGTCCGTGCTGTATATATCTCAGCACACTCACACCGTCCTGAAAGCGATTCCACTTGACGCTGAGCTGCACGTTTCCTGCCTCAGTACTCGTACAATGACAATAAAGCTGAATCTAAACTACACTTCATGGATTTCTTTAATCTCCGACACATTCATCAGAAGTCTTTCTACAGACTAACCGGTTTGGTGCCGTAACAGGTTTTGCTGCAGCATCAACGTGTTTCCAGTCCAGGCTTTGGTCTAAGCTACTGCAGTGAAGTGGGACACACTGTGTAGACGACAGCCGACCTGTAAGGACATTAAACAGTCCATACATTATCATTAGATATTCATATATGTGCATACTTCCATGCACAGCTCATAGGGTATATATGTATAACACTCTCATGCTACGGCCCTTAAAGCTTTTCCACTCGTCCTGCTTCTTTAACACGTCTGCTTTGATGTTAAACTGCGTTTGTCGTTTCAGTACCAGACAACAAAGTTTAACGTAAACTTCATGGACTTGTTTAAACCTCCTACACATTCATCAGAAGTCTTTCTACAGACTAACTGGTTTGAAAATGGTGCAACACCAGTTAATGGTGGTTTTCCTTCAACATGTTTCCAGTCTAGGTTTTGGTCTGAACCGGTTCAGTAAAATGAGACCCACTGTGTAGATCAGAGCCGACCAGCGAGGACACTGAAGTCCACATGTCATCATTATATTCATATAGCTCACATACATGCACACATTATACAGTTTATAACTGAACACACCTACAGGCCCTGACAGCTCTTCCTTCTGGACATTTTACACGACACAACTCTTCTCCTGCTGCTTTTGGTTTGATGCTGAACTGGTACTCATGCAACAATGAAGTTTAATCTCAGCTGAACTTCTTTAGACGTTCCTCTACAGAATGACAGATTTAAAAATGGAGCAATAACAACATTTACAAAAGTTTCCAACTGAGTCTTTAATCTAAACTAAACTGGGCCGGAGTGTGTGTCTGTGATGAGACCACATGCAGAGTGGACAAACTTTGGGTTCTGAGAGGCTGAACCAGGATCTCAACAACTCCAGGTCTCACAGCTCCACCTCTGTCTGAACCAGACCTCCTGCTGCTGCTGTACTTCAGGTCTGATGCTAAACTGAGTCTCATCGTCTCAGAACCTGTAAAATGACAATAAAGCTGAATGTGAACTGAACTTCATGGACTTTTAATCCCTACAGGTCGACCAGATGTCTGTACATCCACTGACTGGTTCACACCTGGTGCAGGAACAGGTTGTCCTGCAGCATCAGCACGAGTCCAGTCCAGGCTCTGGTCTGATCTGGACACTAAAAGTCCATATATCATCATTATATCCATATATCTTGCATAGACAGTTTATACTGGATGTATCTCAGCTCACACATATTACCCATAAAGCCGTTCCACTGCTTTCTGCACAATGGTTCGTCTAAAAATGGTGAAATATCTGATTTTACTGCAAAATCAACAAGTTTCCACTGAATCTAAACTATTTCAGTAAACTGGGCCAGAGTGTGTTTCTATGATGAGACCACGTGTGGAGTTAAAGTGGACAAACTTTGGGTCCTGAGAGGCTGAACCAGGATCTCAACAACTCCAGGTCTCACAGGTCCACCTCTCTCTCTGTTAGACTAAAGTCTACCAATGATTATTATATTAATGCACCTTGAACGTTTACATGCACATACTGTCCTGTCTGTACTGTAACACCCTCACACTGTGCTTAAAGTCACAAACACATCCTATAGTCTCTATGGATCCACAGCTCTGTCTGCTGAAATATCTGATTATGAAAAGTTTCCACTTTAGTCTTTAATCTGAACTCTTCCAGTGAACCTGGACCTGCTGTCTGTCTGTGATGAGGCCACATGTGGAGGCAAAGTGGACAAACTTTGGGTCCTGAGAGGCTGAACCAGGATCTCAACAACTCCAGCACCGGGTCTCTCTCTAAACCAGAGCAGACCATAAAGGTCCAGCCAGAACCTAAATGTTCTGGTGCAGCCCGTCCCTCTGCCTGTCTGTCTGTCCGTCCAGGGCGCTTTCCTGTGACTTGGTGCTGAACGGGTCTGTCGCTGCTCCGAGTGGCACAAGAAGGAAATAAACTAGTTCTCAGTGTTTCCGAGAGCCGCGGTCGGAGTTTAGCGCCGCCGACTCATGACAACTTTTCTGTTCTGTCTGCGCCCCGGTCCGGCTCCAGCCCACTTCCCCCGCCGGGCTCAGGCGCACCTGGACCACTTCAGCACCACCGTGTCCGACCCGCCGGGCTGCCTATTGTTTTCTGCGGCTTTCGCAGCTCTGCTCGGGGAATGGCTCTTTAAAGCCGAGGACGCGGAGCGAGGCGCTACGCCGGAGAGCTTCTCCATTTCTGCCCCGCCGCTTCCCGGTCCAAACGCGCCCCGTACACCCCCCTTCAGCCGGCGTTCAGCCGCCGGACAAACCCTCGACGGTCCCGGGTACCGCACCGGGTGACACGAGTGTGAGATTCGGCCGCGGTGGTGCCTGATTCGGCTCGGTACGGTCCTCGTTTTCGCTCACTTACCTCCGCCATTCCGTTTCTGCGCAAGCTGCGTATTGCCCGGATGTTGTCGGTCTGCTCAGCTCCGCTTATTGCCGCAGCAGCAGCGGCGGTGCTGCACTACTTTGCACCGACTTTCTGCGACTCGTTCCGCTATTTTATTCATCTCATTTAACGAGTGCAGTTTAAAAATGTGTAATTAGTTCATGTAGAAACTCTTCCCTCGGCTCACGGTGTCGGTCTGAGAGATAAAGTTCGTCTTTACTCGCCATAAATAATATAAAACCACCAACTAGAAAGCAAAGACTCACACATTCATCTCTGATATTTAATGATTGTGAGCCTGCTGTGAGGTTTAAACCATCACTACACCAACACTTCACATCAGTCAGTTTTATTCCAAAGCAGGTTTTCACATAAAGTCACTGATAATAAAATAAAACACTTTAGAGTCATTTCTGCTCTGAACTCCTACAGCAATAAATCATAGGAACAAATAAAGAATATTCAAAGTTTAGAGTCAATGTCAAACACAGTTTTTATTTCTAGATGCTCATAGAAAGCTGGGATCTTCTCATTTAATTCAAAACCTGACTAATTAAAGATAATGTCAGTATTTAAATGTCTTCACAGAACCACACAATAAATATACAACTGAAATAAGTATTTCTGCTTTCCTCTTGTTTTTAAGTTTTAACAGAGCTTTCAAAACTGTTAATTCACTTAAAAACATCCATTTATTTAATATTTATGTGAATTATTATGTACATGTCAGGAGAAGACGTGGATTATCTACGATGAGCTTTTACTGTTGGAGTAATTCTTTCACTGAGCTAAAGCAGGACTCTTCTTTGCTTAGTTTGAGCAAATTAACACATTTTGTGAGAAATTATATTTGATCCGATGTAGAAATCTACTTCTTCATGTGATCTTCAAAAACCTTTTATTATTGAGCTCAGTGTCCCGTTCAGCCGATATTCCAACAAGTTTGTCTTTTTCCAGACGGGAAACAGCAGCAGCATGAAACTGATTCTTAATTATCATGATGCACAATTAGACCCCATTAAACAATAAACTGGAGCCAAGTGTTGAATGTTGTGTTTATTAGATTTTTATACGGTTAACAATGTTTTTATTTCAGCCACTTTAATGACATCACATCCACATGAACTGTTCTTCATGGTTCTGGGTCCTTTTATTTATTCTTTGCCAGGTTGAAAGGTTGCAAAGCTTAACCGGCCCAATTTTCCAGGTTTCTTTTTTGAACAAAACTCACCTGAGGAGGAATCTGATGTGGAGATTTTGGTGCTTCACAGTAAACAAGTAGAGCATTTTTAAAGAAAGGATAAAAGATTTATAAAGAAAACAAATGTTGTAAGTCACATAAAGCAAATGTTGTAAACTCAGGCAATGTGAAGAAATAAAAGGTGACAGAAATATCTGCAGTGTGCAGGAATGTGCAAAGTCACATAGCAGACGCTGTAAACAAGCTGAGATGCTCAGAATCTGATCATAATCCTGTTTAAAAGCTGTGCATTAAAGCAATGCGTGGAGTAAACGTCTCCTGTGGAGGGTGGCGGGTGGACACGGCGCCATCAGGGGGCTCTGGCCTCGCTGATGAAGGAACATGGCTGCACACAGTGAGTGGAAGCAGGAGACTCACTGTTCCTGCTGATTACGTGGTGAAGGAGGGGACAGGACGTGGCCACAGCAGATAAAGACGGACTATAAGGCTCAGAGCTCAGACAATGACTGCTTACAGTTCATGATAGCTGTGAGAGGCAGGCGGGCTGGACGTATACGCTGATGCCATGTGACATAGTTCAGCCACAGCAAACAGAGGAGGTCACGTGGGGATGATTCATTTCATATGTTCCAGGCTGCAGCTCGGCTTTGATATCAAACCGGCTCTTTAAGTGCTTTTTAAATTAGTGCTGGGCGTCTCCCTGATCTCCAATCCAATCCAATGTCCTTTATTCTGAGAAAACAGTTAAATCCAAAGGCAGCAGAGAGACGTGTTTGTAATCGGACCTTCTGATGTATGAACATCAGTACCAGCCATGATGAGCAGCATCATGTTGTCTGTCTCCTCCAGGCAGCAGACTG